ATAAAGAAAAGGAACCTGTGGAGAGTCATGATCGCCTACATCCTGTATGGAGAAAGACTACTCATATTTTAAAATCGTGGGGAAAATAATGAGAAACTAAGCCCGCTAACTATCCCAAGATGTTATTGACAATTTACAAATAATAAAGAAAAGGATGCTCTGGAGAGCCACGATCACCTATAGCGTTTATGGCGCTTAGATGTGACACAAGGCCGAAATTATGGAGCACTCAGTGAAAACTAAGTGCTAGTTATATGACGAATTACAAATAATAAAGAAAAGGAACTTGTGGAGAGTCATGATCACTTCCGTACAAACACAGCTTCTACAGACAAACTTATAAAAAATCACTTTTACAAGCAAAACAATTTCTTATGAAAATGCGAAAAATTCTATTTACCCGCTTTTTTTTAATTCAAGCTATGAAATTAATTTTGTTTTAATACCTTTCTAAATTAGTTAAATTATTCAGACTGTTGTCCCCATCTTTATTATTATATTTATGACGTTTTGGCCATTGTACGCTCCGATATTTCATTACGTGATATATATTGGGATGCAATAGTTACAACACTTCATATCAGAAATAAAGATAGATACCTTTCTAACTTTGGTGAATTTTGCATCACGAAACAGCTACCTGTCTAGTTGTTAAGATACAGGTTTCACCAGTAGTACGAAATTAAAATTATTTTTTTTTTAACTTTAGATATATTTTTTCGGTTAAAATTTAGTTCCGAAATGTTTTTTAAATATCCTTTTCTTTTTTACATATCAGTCAGTTATGTGCCATACGTGAGACACGTTTAAGCCATCATGTATCGCGCGATACATTGACGAGGCAGATTTTTTTTCCCGCAGTAGGTTACCATTTCTTTCTGCGATATACCAGTTGCCATCCATTTCTATAGAACCCGGTCTGGTTTTTACCCATAATTGGTGGGAGAAGGGATTTATACATTTCCCAGGGGTATTGGCACGTAAGTGAATGTAATGGGTGTGACTGGAATTCGAACACGGCTCTCCGATTCCTAAATACAAGCTGCTATACATTACTCCACCGTGCCTCCTTTTTACATATAGACTGATATTTAGATGTTAGATATTTAGACATTTTTTTTACTTCATTTACCTGTTATTTCTTACCGATTTTCTTTGCCTTGTCTAATATCTTCAGTTATTTTTATTTCTTTTTTCCTCTTTTTTAATTCTAAGCTATTTTTTCTGTTCAATTGTTTCTTTGATTTGCTTATTAGGAACCCTTTTTAATTAATAGTATGTGCCGCGAGGAGGCTTTCTTTCTTTTTCTGCACTCATTGCTTCGGTTACGTTTTTTAACGATTATTTTTTTTTAAATTTTTGATTCTTGTTCCTTCAAGTTCCTTCTACATTTCTGTCCATTTTTTTTCTCAGTCTTTCATTTTCTTTCTCGGTGAATTAAACCCCTAAAGCTCCCATTCCAACACGCCAAGGAAAAACAACAAACATTCCTCTCTGTCTATTTTTATTTCTTTCAGCCGTTTCAAAATTGTTTTTCTTATTCGTTTCTTTTTTTTATCTCATTATACTTATTACCCTGACGACATTCATTATTCACGTCCAAATAGACACGTTTTTATCTCGAAATCCACCCACCCAACTTCAAATTTTTTTAAAGCTTGTTGAACTTAGTTTAATTATTTCTTTACGTTATTTCATGTTTCAGGCAATCTAAGCCGGTTTGAAACGAATGCTGCTTTATTTTTTTTTTCATCCACAGATGAAAAAAAAATTCACTAATATTTATTTGAAAATATGGCACAAGGAGAGTGGGGTGCGAACCAGTCTTCAGCGTCTTATCTTTTAAACTAACTAATCGGAATCACTGACCCATTCTCACGAATATTTTTCCTATCACCGAAATTTTACATTTAGCTTTTCGGCCATAACCGCAGACACCATAATACCGAAAAGGAGAATAAAAGCAAACATACGCAAATATGTGACTTCTTCTATGCGGAGTGTAAGTTTCTGATTATCAGCTAGGAAACTTTTTTGTTTTGAAAACAGAAGGTGAATAGAAATATTCCACTTTCGTTATTAACACAAGAAATTCAAGGTTAGAAGTTAGTTTGAACAATAATAATAATAATATCATGCCAAATATGGAGAGATATGGTACTAACTTAAATAAGACTATATCTCGATATGCTTACCTATGTCTGCGACGTAAAATACACTGAAATTCAGAAATATATCAAGCAAAACTAAATATTCCAAAAAGTACCAAAAAAATACGTTAATAAAAAGGTGGCAAAATTTTAAATATATAATATGACAGAGTATGAAATACAAATACAAGTAAATGAGATACGAAAATACTGATCTCTCAGGAAATGAAACAAAAGAATCTTGCTGCGACATAAGGAATTTCATTGATTCAGATTATGTCATGAAGATGAATCAAATGAAATTAGAGCAGAGTTCCTTGAAAACAACAGAGTGGAAATCACTGAAGCGAAAATCTCATCATTCAAATAATAACAATATTGTTTAGAATTGTAATTTGTTTGGAAGTGACTGTTACGAAATGTTTATAAAAAAAAAAAATAAACATTTACATTTGTCGATATGCCCCGCACGCCACCGATAGACACGAGGGGTTAGGAAAAAATATTTTTAAATTAAAGTTTCTATTTATTATCTATGAAGATTTTTTTTTTACTCTGATCGAAAATTGAATGGTGACTAGTAATCTTTTTATTTCACTGTTAACTCGAGAAAATCAAGGTTAGAATTTATTTTGAATTTAAAAATAATAATAATAATATTGTTTTGAATTGTATTTTGTTTGGAAGTGACTTCTAGCCAACATGTTTTATGAAAACAAGAATACTAATTTACATTGGTCAATATGCCTCCCCACCACCGATAGTCAAAAGTAGTTACGAAAAAACCGACACAAGGTATGAAATACGGATGTATTTTATTGTTATATCTTTTACACTTTATTTTTATGTGCCATGTCCTTTCAGGGCGTAGGCGATCATGGTTCTCCACTTCCCTGTATCTCTTGCAGCTCTCAGCAAGCTCCTTCCTTCTGCTTCCTCTCCAAGACTATGTTTTGTCATCCACTTGCTTAAGCCCATCAAGTATGCCGCGCGATGCTTTCCCTTGTCTCTCTTTCTTTCTATTTGAGTATCAGATTCTCCAAGCCCTCCTTTCTCATTATGTGCCCAAGAAACTTCAGCTGCCTCTTTCTGATGTTAAGTATAAGCCTTCTTTCGGTTTGTGACCTCTCTAAGACCTCATCGTTGCTTACATGATCGGTCCCTGACATCCTTAGCATCATTCTGTAGAACAAGATCTCCGTCGCCTCGAGTCTCTTCTACATCTTTGAGGAAATCGCCCAACATTCGCTGCCTAAAAAGAAGAACAGATGTCACGTAACAGCTCAGTATTCTTTTCTTTGTTACCAAAGAAATCCTCCTGTCATGCAAAAACGACACAAGGTATGAAATAAGGATGTATTTTATTATTATATCTTTTACACTTTCTTTTTATGTGCCATGTCCTTTCAGGGCATAGTCGATCACGGCTCTCCACCTTTCTCTATGCCTTGCAGTTCTCAACAAGTACTTTCTCTCTGCTTCTCCCCCCAGATCACGTTCTGTCATCCACTTGCTTAAGTCCGCCAGGTATGTCACGCGTTGTTTTCCCTTGTCTCTCTTTCTCTCTATTCGACCCGTGAGTATCAGATTCTCCAGGCCCTCGTTCCACATTATATGTCCCAGGAACTTCAGCTGCCTCTTCCTGATCTTAATTATAAGCCTCCTCCTTGTTTGCTTCCTCTCTAAGACCTCATCGTTGCTCACACGCTCGGTCCATGATATCCTTAGCATCCTTCTGTAGAACCACATTTCCGTCGCCTCGAGTCTTTTTTTCATCTTTGAGGAAATCGTCCAACATTCGCTACCGTAAAGAAGAACAGATGTCACGTAAGAGCTCAGTATTCTTTTCTTTGTTACCAAAGAAATCCTCCTGCCCAGATATTTGAATGCGTCCTTGGCCATCCCAATACTAGATAGTCATAACTGACACAATCGATTGAATGTTTTCCGTATCACTAAAATGTGATGTGCACACTAATACTGCTGACACAAAATACCGCAATTTCTCTTCGAGGCCCTAACTCGTGCTATATGTCCAATTACTTTTATACCAGCAGTGATAATAATAGCAACAATTAAATATTTTCAGAATTAATGAATGAAGTACCTACACAAAGCAAAGGTTTGTTATTATCACAAAATCCTGAAAATCTTGAAAATCTCCCAAATCCTAATCGTTACAGAAATATCAGTTCACGATTACTAGTCCCGTAACGAATCATAGGGACACCACATGTATTGTAGCCACAGTAGAAATGGTATGTCTTGGGCAAGACAAACCCCAACACTTTCCAGGCTGGTTTGAATTCAGTTTTCCTTCTCCTAGACTGATTTCCACCCAAGGCTATAGAACTCAGTCTGTGTTGCTATTTACCCATAGCTGATGGATGGATTCATATATTTCCCAAGGGTATTCGACCGTAAGTAAATGTAATGATCTCGACAAAGTGCGGTATACAAAAGGTGAAATAAATCGCTCACACAGATATTTCACCCAATTATGCTCACATCTAGTTAGAATAACAATTACGGAAAAAAAAAACGTAAAATTGAAAGACATCCTGCACCGAGTAGATTGAATGATTTATTTTTTTATGGATTATCAACCTCTTGACGGTTATTTAAAGCCAGAAAATAGTTTTACTTTGAAAGAATTTTTTTGAGATAATAATGGTTTAGTGATACAATTTCTACTAATTAACCCAAAACTGGGGGGGGGTAGAATGCTACCTTTTTAATTGTATTTGCGGATGGATGAATATTACGAAGCCGAGTGGAACAGGAAATGGAACTCGCTCTCCGGTTTTCCAATTCCGTTATCCTTTACATCAACCACACATCCAAGTTTATAGCTCTGAGTATTCCCAGACGGTCACTCATTTAGGTACAGACAAGTCTCGAAGTTGCTTAACTTCGGTGATCATATGGGAACCGGTGCTTTAGTGTTATATAGCCGTATATTCGCATCTACTAGAGAACTGCAATCTGTCACTTAATGGCGGATGGGTTGTGAAATTAAATTGAATAATAGAAGGAAAATATGTTCTTTGAGCTTACATTCTCTCGCTCCCTAAGTTAACAATTGATCGACTGAGGCAACCTATGAAAGCCTAAACTAACCTGAGTGAGATGACTCCTGCCCAGTTCATGGATAAATATTTAATTCACTACACCGACTCCTCACTTAACGACTTGATTAATGACGGTCCTAAGTATACTTAGGACCATTTCTAAAATCTCGTAAAATAGAAAGATACAATAAAAACATTGTACCTAGTACGAAAATTAGGATAATTCATTTTTTTTTTCTATTTCTTCTAAATTAATCAAATAAAATAAATCAACTGAAAAATATATAAAACATTTTGTGCTGGGTTTACAGAACGCAAACTAACATAAATTGCAGAAGGTAGAACTGGTTTTCGAAAATGTTTATTACGTTTACCTTTGAGTACCCGACTGTAATGGATTTAAAAATAAATTAGAAAGGTTACAAATAGTGTAAAAATGACGTCGAATTTTTTTTTTTTTAATTGTCTGTGTACATTTATTACATTCAACCAGTTTCCAATGATTTAAAAGTTCTGTTCAAGCTTGATTGATTAATTCGTTTTCCACGACTTTGCAGGTTATCTAAAATCAAAAAGATTATAAGAATGTTTTTCGGAGATAGTAATGATTTTGTGATATAAATCTTACTAATTAACCCGAGCTGGGAAAAGAATAAGTAGATTTATACCTAATCAGAATTTGATAAACGAACAAGAAATTATAATGTGGATATAAAGTGGGGGATAAATTATCTATTAAAATCAATATATAAACTGATCCCTCACTTTGTGGCCATGATACTTTCAATAATTATATTTCTGAGAATGTATAAATCTAAATAAATACCTGTTCAGCTAATCAATATTTGATTGATTGATGGATTTGTTTTCTATCCCATTGTAGGTTATTTAAAGCCAGAAAATATTTTTAGATTGTAAGATTTTTTTATGAGATAATAAGGATTTAGTGATACAATTCTTACTGAAGAGTATTTGCGCGTAAGTGAATATAACGAACCCAACTGGAAATGGAACTCCGAAGAACAATTCCAATTTCTTGCATCACCCGCACATCTAAGATTACAGCATCTTGTGTTTCCAATCGGAACTATCCATCTAGGTACTGCCCAGACTCGGTCTTTCTCAACTTCGGTGATCGTATTACATTCAAGGGAAAGAGTATTGACAAGAATGACCCATTTATATATTTCATCTATAAAGGTATATCTTTATAGATTGTCATTTTATGTAAAGGGTGTTTCATTAAGACGGATTATGTATAAGGGTGTTTCATTAAGACGGATCAAAGTCAGTGCTAAATGATTCGGTGTTATTGGTGAAAATTTATTTATTTCTCTATTGGATCATGTTATTTAAGTCATGACAATTATGTGTGAAAAATAATATCGCCCAAATGACCGCCAAATCTGAAAGAAAAAGAAAAAAAAACATTTGACCCTTAAAATTAATTCTCATTTAAAATCAGTCCAAGCTATTGAAACACCCTTTATTACATATTGCATTTAAAAGTTGATCAATTAAAGCAGTTTTTTTTTTATAATGGATATTACATTATATTTCCATGCAATAATAAATCACAGTGTAAGTAAAATGAAAATCTTTATTTCCATCTCCATATTTGTTTATCCCCTTATTGCATAAAATAGCATTTTCTAGAAACAGGCGTCCATATTCATGTGTCTATTAACAAAATTATAGCGTATTATTTTGATTTTATTTGTAATTACTAAATGAAGCATTGTCAGTCATTATTGATTTTTCACTGCTATTTCTTTTATTCTGTCTTACATTCAAAATAATATTGAGAATAATAATAATAATATTGTATGCATCCAAAATGAGTGATAGCAGCGCTGAATGTTCGGAGAATCAATAGATAATTCTATATTGTTAATTTTTTTTCTTCTAATGTTAATTTTTCGTAAATTAAGTCGTAAGATGGGCTTTACGAATTAAAAAAAAATCGAATTTCCGGTTGTTTACTCAGATCGATATACACCTGATGAAGACCGGAGGGTACATGGCCGAAACGTTCTGTTAGCAACAACAAGGATGAGGATAATAGTCCACTTGTATAAAGTGTAACAGCTCGGATTGAGGAATCGGAGAGCCGAGTTCGAACTCCAGTCGTATCCATTGCATTCACTTGCGTGTTAATACCCTTGGGAAGGGTATGAATCCTCTTCTTCTCCCCACACCCAGCTATGGGTAAGTAGCAGGACAGACCGGGTTCTATAGCTTTAGATGGCAACTGGTCTACCGCAGAAAGAAATGGCAACCTACTGCGGGAAAAATCTGCCTCGTCAGTTATGTATCGAAAGATACATGATCGCCTAAGCGTGTTTCACGCATGGTACATAACTGACTGAAGTGCGATACTGAGATCCGTAGACGTATTGGGATGACCAAGGACACATTCCAAAAGGCTGGGAAGAGTATTGCGAGACAGGGGAGATTTCTTTGTTAACAAGAAAAGAATACTGAGATGTTACGTGACATCTGTCCTTCTTTACGGCAGCGAATGTTGGACGATTTCCTCAAGGATGAAGAAAAGACTCGAGGCGACGGAGATGTGGTTCTACAGAAGGATGCTAAGGATATCATGGACCGAGCGTGTGAGCAACGATGAGGTCTTGGAGAGGATGTAAACAAGAAAGAGGCTTATGCTTGACGCCAAGAAAAGGCAACTGAAGTTACTTGGACATATAATGAGGAATACAGGCCTGGAGAATCTGATACTCACGTGTCAAATAGAGAGAAATAGAGACAAGGGAAAACAATGCGTGACATACCTAGCAGACTTAAGCAAGTGGATAAGAGAATGTGGTTTGGTGGTGGTAGCAGAGAGAAGGAAATTGTTGAGAACTGCAAGGGATAGAGGAAGAGGTGGAGAGCGATGATCGCCTACGCCCTTAAAGGACATGGCACATAAAAAGAAAGTGTAAAAGATATAACAATAAAATACATCCTCATTTCATATCGTGTCGTTTTTGCGTGACAGGAGGCTTTCTTTGGTAACAAAGAAAAGAATACTGAGCTGTTACGTGACATCTGTTCTTCTTTTTAGGCAGCGAATGTTGGACGATTTCCTCAAAGATGGAGAGGAGACTCGAGGTGACGGAGACGTGGTTCTACAGAAGGATGCTAAGGATGTCAGGGACCGAGCATGTGAGCAACGATGAGGTCTTAGAGAGGTTACAAACAGGAAGAAGGCTTATACGTCACATCAGAAAGAGGCAGCTGAAGTTTCTGGGACACATAATGAGGAAGGAGGGCCTGGAGAATCTGATACTCACGGGGCGAATAGAAAGAAAGAGAGACAAGGGAAAGCATCGCGTGTCATACCTGACGGGCTTAAGCAAGTGGACGACAAAACGTGGTCTGGGGGAGGAAGCAGAGGAAAGGAGCTTGCAAGGGATAGAGAGAAGTGGAGAGACATGAAAGTGGGGTGTTTTTATTTATTCTTTTTGTTTGCATTTTATTGTGCTTTTTGTTATCACAATATGTCAGATTTCTTTGCAATGTTCGACATATTTAATTCGATTTCATCTTGAACATCAGTTTCTGTTTGTTTGTTTTTTGTTTTTTTGTTTTGTTTTGTTTTTTCCAACCCCATCCACAATCTAAGCAACAAAATCAACTGCCCGTGATAAATGTAGAGTTAAATTGACTTACTGCTAAAAGTTAGTCGGGAATATTATTTACTGCGAAATTTTTACGATAATAAATAAAATAAAAAAATAAATGAAATAAATAAATAAAAAAAATAAAAATAAAAGTTAATGGTCGTCAATATTTAATGAATAATTTCGTATTTCCGGAAACGAAAATGTATTCAATTTACGCTCCTACTAAATACAATGCTTATTTTTCTAGAAATGAAAATTTCTGTTTTATAACTAAGTAACATATTTCGATATCTATGTAATTGGCGAAATTTGGAGTTTGTGTGCATTGGACTCCATTAAAACATAGGAAACGAAATTATTAAAACGTAATATTAAACTGAAATATTCCATGTAGATAAATTTAACAAATTTAATTATAATGCCATTTTGTTTTCACAAACACAAGCTATCGTAAGACAGACAGATAAATAGATAGATAGCGATAGATAGATAGATAGATAGATAGATAGATATGATCAACTGACATAGATAAATAAGAACAACTAACATAGATATCTGTTTTATGCAACTAAAACGATACTCTTATTTTCATTCTTACGTAATTTAGACGACAGTTTATCCATCGCACCCTCTCTCTATAAGTTGATATGTATTTATATTGCGAAAGAGAGAGAGCGTGAGAGAGGAAGAGAGAGAGAGAGTTCGTATGATAAGTAAAGTTGCAGAATAATTCTTAAAAAACAAACATATATATTGAGGAGTATATATAATATAGATAAAAAAAACAGTTTATCAATATAATGATATGTCTGTTCAGCCATCGATTTTTCGGGGTTTTTTTTCTATTTATATCTCTCTATATATATATCTAAATCTTTTGGCACATATCACTAAGGTAAATCATTTGACTGAGGTAACATAGAAGAGGTAATGACGCAGATATTCTGTGTATTTCCAGCGGAGGAAATGAAAGTGTAATGGGAGTTTTGCCTACTGAATCCCGACACAGAATTACATATCGTTGCCTCTGAAGCTATTGTTTGTCTTCAGAAAATAGGAATGCATGCAAATACGTGAATAACCAGCGGCGCAGATACATGCTTATCGCAAAACACATGTCGACAGATTGTTGGCAACCTGCCATAGAATCTAAGGCCTGCGGTTTGAATCTTTTGCAGATAATGATCGGGTAAATGATGAAGGGATCAGAAGTAAGAGAGCACTTGATGAAGCGGGAGCGATGAAAAAATGTAAT